ACACAAACAAATACACACACACACATGCACAAACACACATAAACAAATATACATACACAAACCAATACACACAGGGACACATGCACATACTAAGACACACACAAAGACACATGCACACACACTAACAAATATACACATATACATGCACACACAAACACACGCATGCACACACACACACACACACTCAAACACATGCATATGCATATGCACGCAAACACAAATATACTCAAACATACAAGTGTACACATACAAGTACACACAAACATAAACATGCACATCATTGCACACATACACACACACAAACATATAAATACAATAAATACACAAACATAAACAAATATATAGACACACATACTGTGTACATGCACACACATATGCACAGCATTACACATGCACATACACACACATATATTCACACACACACACAGAGACACATGTACACACATATACAAATACACAGATAACACACACACACACACACACACACACACGTCAGACTCACTGGATGATGTTGATGTACGTCTCCACATCCCTCATGTCTCCGTCTCTCCAGTTGTTCTTAAAGCCCAAAACTAGTGTGTTTGGTTTCAGGCGACCCAAACCAGCGGCCTGTCAAACACACACACACACACACACACACTGAACACGTGTGCTTAACTACTGCACTGTACAAACAGCAGCTTTAAAACAATCACAATGGCAAGTAACTCACTAAATTAGACTTGTTTGTTTGTTCGTTCGTTCGGTTTGTTTGTTTGTTTTGTTTGTTGGTTCAATCGGTCAGTCGGTCGGTCGGTCGGTCGGTCAGTCCGTCAGTTCTTTTAGTTTGTTAGTTTGTTTTGTTTGTTTTTGTTTGTTGGTTCAGTCGGTCAATCAGTCCATCCGTCCGTCAGTTCGTTTAGTTTGTTTGTTTGTTTGTTTGTTGGTTCGGTCGGTCAGTCGGTCGGTCGGTCGGTCCATCCGTCCGTCCTTCCTTTCGTTTAGTTAGTTTGTTTGTTTGTTTGTTTGTTCTTTTGTTTTGTTTGTTTGTTTTTTTGTTTGATTGTTTGTTTAGTTTGTTTGTTTGTTTGTTTTGTTTGTTAGATTGTTTGTTTAGTTTGTTGGTTATTTTGTTTGCTTGTTTGTTTGCTTGGTTTGTTTGTTTTTTGTTTGTTTGTTTGTTTGTTCGTTTGGTTTGTTTGTTTTTTGTTTGTTTGATTGGTTGGTTTGTTTGTTTTGTTTGTTTAGTTTGTTTGTTTGTTCGCTTGTTTGTTTGTTCACTTGGTTTGTTTTGTTTGTTTATTCATTTGGTTTGTTTTGTTTGTTGTTTTTTTTTGTTCGTTTTGTTTGTTAGTTTGGTTTGGTTTGTTTGTTTGTTTGTTTGTTTGTTTGTTTGTTTGTTTGTTCTTTCTTTTGTTCAGTCGGTCACGTTGGTTGGTTGGTTGGTTTGTTTGTTTGTTTGTTCGTTAAGTTTGTTTTGTTTGTTTGTTCACTTGGTTTGTTTTGTTTGTTTGTTTGTTTGTTTGTTTTGTTTGTTTTGTTCGTTTGTTTGTTTGTTTGTTTGTTTGTTTGTTTGTTTGATTGATTGTTTGTTTATTCGTTTGTTTGTTTGTTTTGTTCGTTGTTTGGTTTGTTTGTTTGGTTTGTTTGTTTAAATGTGTGTGTATGTGTATGTGTGTGTGTTGTCTGACCTGCAGCAGGTACTGGGCCCCCTGTCTGTGGTCATCTGCAAACACTGGACTGTAGAAGGCTTTGATTCTCATCTTCAGGAGCCAGCGCTGATAGCGGGCCTGCTCATTCAGCATCTCCTTATAGTTGGGCCGCCGGTAACCCTGAGAGAAACACACAACAACAGCAGACTTTAGAAAGTGTGTGTGTGTGTGTGTGTGTGTGTGTGTGTGTGTGTGTGTGTGTGAGTGTGTGTGTGAGTGTGTGTGTGAGAGAGAGACGTACAGTCCTGACATGTCCGCAGATCATCAGACCCATATCTTTAGTGAAGGTGTGTGTGAGGTAGAGCAGCGCCGGTCTGGAGTTTGGATATCCACACATGAGGAGACACTGAGGCCTGCGGAGGAGAAGAAGAAGATTAACTCCGTCATCAGAAGAATAATTTAGAAAAGAATAATTCTGTCTTCAGCTGTTTGTCTGAACAGTTCTGGATAGTTCTGAATGAGTGTCTGCGTGACCTGAAGTTCTTGATGTGATCCTCCACACCGGTGAGATGCAGACTGTGTGTCAGTGCCTGATTATACATCAGAGCCTGTGTGGACGAGCCCCAGTTCACATCTGCAGGAGAACACACACACATG